GCCTCTTGAGTAGCTGTGGCACCCGCCACAACGCCTGGCTTTTTTTTTTCCTTTTTGTAGAGACAGGGTCTTAGTTTATCACCCTCGGTAGAGTGCAGTGGCGTCACACAGCTCACAGCAACCTCCAACTCCTGGGTTTAGGCAATTCTCTTGCCTCAGCCTCCTGAGTAGCTGGGACTATAGGTGCCTGCCACAAGACCCAGCTATCTTTTTGTTGCAGTTTGGCTGGGGCCAGGTTTGAACCCACCACCCTCAATATATGGGGCCAGTGCCCTACCCACTGAGCTGCAGGCGCCACCCCTGGCTACTTTTTTGTTGTAGTTTGGCTGGGGCTGGGTTCGAACCCACCACCCTTGGTATATGGGGCCGGCGCCCTACTTAATGAGTCACAGGCGCTGCCCCCATAGTTTTTGTATTTTTAGTAGTGATGGAGTCTCACTCTTCCTCAGGCTGGTCTCAAACTCTCGAGCTCAAGCAATCCACCTGCTTCAGCTTTACAGAGTGGTAGGATTACAGGGCATGAGCCACCATGTGTGGCTTCTTTTTTTTTTTTTTTGAGGCAGTCTCACTTTCTTTGTCACCCTGGGCAGAGTGCCGGGGCTTCACCACTCACAGCAACCTCAAACTCTTGGGCTTAAGTGATTCTCTTGCCTCAGCCTCCCAAGTAGCAGGGACTGTAGGTGCCAGCCACGATGCTCAGCTATTCTTAGAGACAAGGTCTCTGCTCAGGCTGGTCTCTGGCTCATTGCCTGGTGAGGCAATCCACCTGCCTCAGCCTCAAACTTTAACACTTTTAAAGGGCACATAATATTTCCCTTGGGGGAAGGGAGAATATATCCTGTCCAAAGAAATTGCTGTGTATAAATTATGAAACTAAAATTATTGCTTTAACACGTTTAATATTATGCTTTGCTCTTGAAGTAAGTGATGTGGAAGTCAAATTTAGGGTAAATGCCTGCCACCATGCTTAGATTTCAGACCCTGTTATCTGTCCTGGTTTCTTTTCATCTTTATCAAGTATCAATCCAAAACATGGTAGAGGGGGATTCCCAGCTACTCTTCCTGTTGGCTAACAAATGCACTTAAGAAAGTAAAGATTTAAAGGCATAGAATAATATTGGTACAAGTCTCTAAGGCCATTAAAATAGACTTTTGCCCATTCCTCTCCCCCCTTTTTTTAATCTGATGCAAAATTGGAACCCAAGAGAGGGTAAGAGGATGGCTTATCCAAGTTTACATAGGAAGGTATAGGGGCAGAGCTGGTATTTAGAACTGAGGTCTTCTGGCACCTGTGTAGTTTTCTTTTCCTGTTGTAAACCATGCTTCCTGTGGGAATTAGAAGACAGCAAATACAGAAAAATTAGCTCCATATTTTCAGTGAGCATCATAAAGTAAAATTAACCTATCAGCAATTCCCAGTTACTATAATCATAATTTCATTTTATTTATTTATTTTGAGACAGTCACTTTGTTGCCCTCAGCAGAGTACAGTGGCGTTAAAACCACAGCAACCTCAAACTCTTAGGCTTAAGTGATTCTCTTGCCTCAGCTTCCCGAGTAGCTGGGAGTACAGGTGCCCGCCACAATGCCAGGCTGTTTTTTGGAGTTACAGTTGTCATTGTTGTTTGGCAGGCCTGGACTAGATTCGAACCTATCCGCTCCAGTGTATGTGGCTAGTGCCCTAGCCACTTGAGCTACATGTGTTAAGCCAGTTGATATAATTTGATAATGATATGTATATAATAGCTTATATCTAGTCCTTCCTTTCCCTGTCCAGATTTTTTTTTTTTTT